AACATATACTTTAACCTAACTGAGCATGCCCCAAGTCTGAACTCTCAATCCGGATGCAATACTAGATTGACGCTGCAGTGTTTGGCATGTGCACCGGATAAATTCCGTGGTAAAGCCCTTATTTCAAGGCCATGTCTATGAGCAAAACCGTCTTCTGTTATCCACTTAGCTCTAATCTCCGATGCACCTCTCGTGCTTCTATCCATAATGGCCAGTATCTTGTTCGCCAAGCCCTAAATGTTATCCTTTTGCTCCTTGTTTTTATTAGGCTCACTGTAGTTGTCTCCTCTTGATATCCCTTGTGGCCTCTTTGCCAATTCCTTCGCTCCTGTTTAAAATATTTCCTTTATCTGATCTTGCCGTTTTCCGTCGAGTATGCTTAAGCAATGCGCGAAGTTTTCGCAAACCTGCGGGTGCTTATTGTATTTTTGCATGATTAATTATTCCCTATAGCAGTAAATTAAATACAATTTAAGCAGTATTATAAACTATACTTGAAATATAATATCATTGAAAAGAATATTTCTTAAATAAACGCCTTCGCGTCTTTCGCCTATAGCGCTTGAAAATAGGGCTTACATAAATAGACATAAATTATCATGTAAATTGAGGCCTTCTTCTCGCCGTATGTAGCATTACAATCAGTCTGTAAAGACAAATGATTATTTCTTAACTTTACCAAAACTATTTTATATTCAGTTCGATCATGGAGGAGACGGTAACTAGGTTCAAGCAACTCCAGAAGTCTTAGAAAAGACAAATTTGGAATGAGGATATAAGTTGCGATGCGTTGACTTTTCAAGGTTAAGCATTTTTAAACTGAAGTAGAGCAATATATGAATAAAACCTGCGTTTTTATGATTATTAATCATTTGGTGTGACCTATCTTTTCATTCTAAAGGAATTGTTGGTTGAAGAGAATTCGTGATTTAGTCCCACCATAAAACCAAGAAAGTATTCACTTCTTCAGATCAACTCACAAATTCCCTCTAACTAACTTTCTATTTGAAATACCAAGTCTATTCACAATACACCGAATTCAGCCTATGGGTAGGGATGTGTGTGAGTGATGCATTGCTGCAGCATGACAAGTACAAAACAGAACCCTCATAAAGCCTTACCTTCTCCAGGCCAGCTTGAGTCTCCCAGTATCCCGATATTCCCTGAGCTGTCTCGGAGGCACGCAAAGCCTTCTCAGCTTCCGCCTCCTCAGAGCGCAATCGGTCCAAAGTCCACGTCAAGATGCCCTTCTCGGCGCGCAGTTCGTTCAGCTGAGAACGAAGCTGTTTGTACTGTGTGTTTTTGTTTCTTATAAGAGCCACATATCTTTGGAACTGACAGTACGTGTGTGTGCGCAAATTTAAAGTAATAACGTGATGCAGATAAGAGGCGAGGGATAAAAATCGACAGTCAGATGAATAAAACTTAAATTAAATGCAAATATATCATGCAAACCGATTGTGCAACCTTACACTTGACTGTTGCAAGAAGATTTTCGTTGGTGACCATTATCACTTGAATTGAATTATACTTATTATCGAGAGTATCGCTATTCG